AGCTGACTAAATACTTTTTTGCCCCACTGTATACAGTTCCTGTTCCCCCATTTTGTGGCTCTTAAAGCCCCCTTTGATCCCAATTGCCCAAAATCGATGATGTAAGTTTTCTGACGTTCTGAAGTGGGAAACCCACCAAATTGTATGGTAAGCCCTGAAACACCTTTTTCCTAATTTTAAAAAGAAAGAAAAAACTCTTACCTTCAAACCAGGGGGAAAAGACAAGAAAATCCTTTCTCCCCTCTACCCTTGCCCCAAACAGTATGATGAACTCCACCCTTCTGGAGGGCATTCAGGTTGAGGACGACTGCATTGAAACGTATGGATTGAATCTGCCCATCTAGTTTAGTCATCTGGATAATGCTATTGAATGTCCTTCCTCTGTATGAGATATATGGGGTGTGTAGTAACTCCTACTTTGTGGAATATCCTGACCTTCCTCCCAGGCGTATGTGCACCACCACTTTACTGCAGTTCTGTATACAGGTTAAATCTGTTTCATTTCAGCATTATTCGCCTCCAGCTGTTTGTTTATACGATTTATATAGCTGCCCGTCTCAGGTATGTGACTTGAGAGGGCTTACAATAAAATAGATAAAATACTGATTATAAAAATAAAAACACACAGCAGCTGAGTACCATATAAACAATCATCAGCAAAGCCAAGAGAGGGGCTCCATCACACCCCCAGAGCCAGGCACAAAACCAAGTTTTCAAGGCCTTATGAAAGGCCAACAGGGTTGCAGCCAGTCTAATTTCAGATGGAACGATGTTCCACAGGGCAGGTGCTGTGGCAGAAAAGGCTGTCCTTCTGGGCCCCACCAGCCAGCACTCCTTAGCTGAGGGGACCCAGAGCACATCTCTCCTGCCAGACCTGGTAGGAGGGGTAGAAGCAGTAGGGGAGATTAATTGTGGGTGCCTCCCCATTCAGCAGACTTCAGATGCAATGTTAAAATATTAGTTGGGACTTCACTCTCAAATAACAAAGTCCACTGTTTCCAAAACAGTCTGGACAACTGGTGTAATTTATATCAGTAGTATTAGTTTACATCATTTGCATCATTATGTAATTGACTTCACTTGTATAAACTTAAGTAAATTATGTAACTAAACTGTATGCTGTTGATATAAATTGATGCAAATGAAGTTATGTCAAACTGGATTTAATGGACATTTGGGTTTAACAGACTTTCTTTCAACTGATCCATAAAATTGAGATTTTACTATGTGCAGAAAATAAGTTTTGTTGTCCAGAATTTCCATGTTGGCCTGGGAAATTTGGGACTTGTACTCCCAAGACACTTGGTGAGTGTTAAGTTAATCAGAGGGTGTTGTGATGAAGGGTATATGGTGTTAAGGTGGAGATAAATGGATTAGATTTTCCCTGTAGCAGGCAGAGTTTGGAATGGGACAAAGAAGAGCCAATGTGGGATAGTAGTTAGGGTGTTGGATTTGAACCGAAGAAATTTCACATTTGTTCTTCCTTAATCAAGGAAATTCATTTGGGGCCAGTCCCTGACTCTCAGCCTGACCTATCCCAGAGCACTGTTGTCTTGAGAAAAATCAGAGAATAGCTGATGCTCACTTCCTTGAGCTTTTTGGATAAGTCTAAATAAACTCCCTTTCCTCCCTTCTTTTTAAAAAAGGTGTAACATTCAATATTCTTTCAAGTCCTATTCCAGTGTTTCTCAACTGTGGCCACTTTAAGATGCATGGACTTTAATTCCTAGAATTCCCCAGCCAGCATGCCAAGGTTAAGAAACACTGTCCTATTCCAACATATGACACTTCTGAGCTGTAATGCAAACATTACACCCAGATTGTGCAATAACCACTTGATGGAGTATCACTTAAGGACTGGAGGGAATTCGTCAAATGATGTGAAGGGATGAAACAATTCCAGAATTAGATTTATTTGTTGCGGCACCTTCTAGTGGATGGGGCGTGTGTAGAAGATGGCCAATACCAATGGCCAATGACTAAATGCTTATTCTTTCTCTCTTGTTTCCCAGCTCAGGCCAAAGTTCTCCCTACCAGCTCAGAAGCCCCAGAGGCCTCCCAGCCTCCTGCCGCTGCCACTCTTCCGGTCACTTACAATCTTTCCAACACCCGCCTGGCATTCTTCCTGAGGGAGACGCGGCCAGGGCCAGGAGGAAGCAACACCCTCGGTTTGACGCGCTTGGAGCCTTTCGTTGTGTTCCAAACCAAGGAGCTTCCTGTGCTCAACGTCTCCTTGGGGCCATTCAGCTCAGGCCTGGTGCTTCCCAAGGAGTTGCTGCAGCCCTCAAGCACCCTGGAGATACCCGAACGCCTGACGGTGAACTGGAAAGTACGGGCCTTCATCGTCTGCACGCGGGTGCCAGCTAGCCAGCCCACAGCCCAGGTGCTATTCTATGTGGCTGGGCGTGACTGGGACGATTTTGACGTGACCGAGCGGCTGCCCTGTGTGCGACTCCACGCCTTCCGGGAGGCCCGCGAGGTCCGGGCCTCTTGCCGCCTTCGGGGCAGCTTGGCCACCTGCCTAGCCCAAGCTGAGCTGCCTCAGGCCTGGTTTGGACCTGCTGCTGTCCCCTTGGGGCGCAGGAAAGTGGTGGAGGACATTGAGCCAGCTGGAGACGTACAGCAAGTAGAACTCTATTACACGCTCCACGCTCCTGATGCAATGGGGGAATGTGGGAGCGAACCGATGGGGCGGAGAGGTGGGGCCGGGGCGCGGATTGAAGGCCCCACCCAGCACCCTCTCCTGCGCATTGGTAGCCTGAGGCTGGTTCAGCCGCCGCCCGCCCAGCCCTTGCAGGAGCAGCGTCTGGATGACAGCATCTTCATCCGGCTGCCCGAGAGGCCTCTCAAACCAGGCGAGGTGCTCAGTGTCATCCTTTACCTGATGGGCAACTCAACAGTTGAGCACTTCATGCTCAGGTAAGCACTGCCTGCAGGGGCCAGGGGTTGTTAAAGGGTCCAGAACAAACATAGCTTTCCATAGGTGTTGGCGTGGTGGCATCAAGCCCGGAACGCAGGCACGATGCCAGAAGCAAGATCACCCAGACTTTAGTAAGGGGTTTTAATGAAACCATTTGTCCTGGAGTCTTGGAAAACTGCAATAGGAAACACCAGACCTCTTTTATTAGTGAATTCATTAAAGCGGAGTCTCTCTGAATATTTTGAATCTCTTTTTCCTGGGCTTTTTGCAAGCTGTTGTTTATAAGTTACTAACAAAGCTGTCTCCCATCTGTTGCTTGTTTATGTCTAGAGTTCCTCCCTTTTCTTTCTCAGCCTCCTTGCAGCCTCTTGCAGGAGTATACTGGAAAGGTGTGGAAGGTTCTTCCTCAGTCACACATGCAGACTTCTCACAAGGTTACATAGTAGTCACTGTCTGTGGACCAAGCATGGGCCATCTGAGGTCTGGATGTTGTGGGCCCCAGCATAGGCAGCCAGAGGGGGAGACAAGTGACAAAAAATCCTTTGCGGCTTTGCTGTGCAAATTCTGCCCCGTTGTATTGTGACACTGTGACTAAAGTACAAAAGGATGACATTTCTTATGATGTCACCATGCACATTGGGCATCACTGTGGTTATAATTGGATGCCTGTGGGCCCCAAGATAGATGAAAAATGGTGGTATGATCTTCTAACCCAGAAGAATTCTCATGTAGGCTTTAAAATAGGGATCATACAGTTGAGCAGCACATTTGATTTGAAGGCAGAATGGTGCTCTGGAGCAGGTAGAGGTGGCAGGTGGAGAGACCCGCCCTTGCCAACCTGCACCAATCAGAAATCAGCTCAGCTAAAGACCAATCAGAAGTCAGGACTCCTAGCTATAAAGACAGGAGTCCGGTCAGTCCCTGGTCAGTTGCCTGTGGCCTGCATAGCAGCCCACCTTGCCTCTGAAGATGGCAGCCACAGTTGCTGGGGAAACATCTGGAAATCTGTTCTCTAGGCCACGGTCCCTAAACCCTGAAGCCCAACGCTGCCCAACAGATACTGGCTGTGAAAGCCTACACCAGTATATTGGAGGTGGCTTATCTGAAGCACCTGCCTGAAGCTGCTTGGAACATGCATTTATGGAATTGTAATGCAGGTTTTTGCCCCACTTTTTCCCTCTTGTTTAGCTCCACCAATCTACATTTTCAGAGGCAGTATTGGTACACTTTCAAGGAAATCTTTGTAGCCATAAGGTCTAGACACTTGTTACTTTTGTTAAACAAGTTATCTTTCTTCAGTGCCTGGCACTACTTTCTATGACATTTAGGCATTCACCTAGCCCTATATGGGACACAGTTTGGGCCAAGAACAACATAAACAATTCAAATTCCAAACATTGAAATTTAGAGCTTCACAAGTTGATGCAGATAGGTTGCATTATTTATTCATGTTTACGCCTGTTGACAGCATTGGGCTTTTTATGGAATTTGGCAAGAATTTAGCTTCAAGTTTTCCCTGCAAGGATACTCAAAGGCAGTTGAGCTCTTTGTTTTTGTTTGATTCATGAGATAGTTTATATATACCCCAGTTTTTTCATCAAACGAAGCTTGAAGAAGCTTATTACAGATTATATTTATTTATAGTTTTCAACTATAAACAATTCAACTATAAGGCAATATAAACTGTAAATGTAGCAGTGGACGTGAACATCCTAAACAATGCTGTGATTACATCTTATCCAAATCCTGGGGGCGGGGGGGGGGATCTGATGTGTAAGAAATAGGAGGGTGTTCTGGTAATAGGGCTAGCATATCAAGTTTGCAGAGATCCAGATGACCACTAGAGCATGTAGCATAAAGGCATGTAGACTGCCATCTTGTGGCCATCCTGATTTGGCAGCTCTTTTCAGGAATTCAGGTGCTGTAACAACAATAGCCCTAACTCTGGTACAGGTATAGTCACTCACTCTGAATGCAGTCTTCTTTTCAGTTCACTCAGCTGATGTCAGGCAGTTGAGTATTATGGCCAAGGAAATGCAGAGGGAGAGAATGGAGGGAGCTAACTTGAGGGTCCTCGAGAAACAGATGTTGCTCTCTTTCTCTTGTTGCTTGGCAGGGTGAAGGCCAAGAAAGGGGTGAACCTGCTCACAACAAGATCCAGACACCCTAAGTGGCTTGTGAATTCAGAATTTCAGACCGGCAGCAAGCACTCCACCTCAACTGTTGAAGTTGCATGGATCGGTGGTATCTTGCCCAGGTAAGACTCTGGATGTTATGATTCTGATCAGTATTGCCCATTTTCTGAGCTGCAAGATCTCAGAAACCTTGTCTTTTTCTGAACTGTAAGCATATTTGTAATTCGGGATGAAAAAAATTTCAAAGGATCTTTGGGGGAATTGAAGTCCCCAGCAGCTCCTGTGAGCTGAAGTTCAGTATGTCTGGAAGCCGTTGATTTGGGGAAGGTGCAAAATTTAACACTTCCTCTGAGATGAGTGCAAGCCTGATGCAAGACTTGGGACTTACTCTGAGGTTTGTGGAAATTAGGACAAAAAAACCCCATAAGCCTGAGCAGAGCTTTAAAAAAATAATAAAGCTGTCTCTGATGTGATGTGAAACCAAAGGAATGGATCAAAAACCAAGTTTCTCTGCCTGAGGAGTCTTCCTGGAGAGTGGCTGGAAAGTCTTTGTAGTGGGCTTGTTTCATGCTGAGTTCCTCAAGGAGGAAAGAGCCCAGATGAACAGCTTCAATTTCTCTGACTCTGAGATACATGGGAATGGAAGCTGGTACGGAGGAAGTGGACAGCACTGATGCTAAGCAATGTCAAAAATACCCAGCCTAGAATTAGAATCTGGCTCTGCAAACACCAAAGTTACCAGGTAGGCTGTTTGTGGAATGAGATGAGTCGTTACATGATGCGTAAGTCAGATGCAGTAATAATCTGGCTCTGTTGTTCGTCACATCTGGTTTTTATTAATTATTTTTGAGAGTAAGAGGGAGTCTTTTTTTTAAAAAAAAGTATCTAAATGGATCTTCTTTTCAATGTGACTCTTTTTGCATCAGCCTTCAAAGCCACGAGGACAAGAAGCTTAGTTTTTGTTTTAAGTAAATGCAATGAAACAGCCAGGCAATCACTCAGTTGCTAAAGTGAATAGATGTTAGGGATGTGTCTTTGGGGGGATTTGAGTAATAGGCAGAGATCTTGGTTCAAATCCCTGATGTGTTGCATGCTGAGGGTGGTAGGGCATAGGGTTTTCACTGTTGGTTTTGGACTGGGTTCCGCACATTCCAGCCCCAGCTCCCTGAATAACTTTCGGCAAATTATAATTTCTCAGCTCAGCCTACTCCACAAAGTTATGGTGAGGATAAAGTGGCCACAGAACTGGGCATACCATCTTGGCTCTTAAGAGAAAAGGTAGGATATAAATTTAATGAAATAACAGGAATAGGAATAGGAGTAATAATAATCATCACAATTACAAAAGTAGCATCAAGGAAAGGTGGAGGAGAATTTTTATTTCCTTGTGCTGTGACTTTAAGGTTTGTGAAGCTGAAACTACAGTGGGTTGGAGTTGAATAGATGAAGCATTTTCTTGTTCCTGCTGTACTACAGACCTGGGAGATTTGCTGTGATACTAGTCCAGCACACTCTACAATTTATGTTCATTATGTATTTTTAGCTGTAACGAGATGAAGGGGTTGGCCATGAACCAGCAGGAATCTGGCTGGCTGGCTCACTTTCAGGCTGCAGATTAAATTCAGCCTTGAAAGGTTAAAGTGGGCGATGAATTTAAAGTGATTACAATCACCTTTTAAGAAAACATCCTGATCAAATCTTACAGCAGTGGAAAGGAAAATGACTTTGGACTCCTGGTTTCCATCTCTTATCCCTACTCCTTTTTACAATTTTGAACATCATAGGCTTTAATTGTCTTGACATTTCAACTCTCGGCATCAGTTCCATCTCTGAGAGCAGATGATGCTTTCTGGGAAGAGATTGAACAGAGGAGTAGAGGGAGTGGGGAGCAATGGGACAGTCAAGAGGGTAAGGGTGCGTCTGTGCTCTTTATTGGGTTTCTGTTCCTCAGAGGAATCAGGACATAACAAGTAGCTTTTTGGATTGTAAGATGTTCCAAGTCACATCTTGGACACCCCTGTACAAAAGATTTAACTGAGCAGCAGATTCCTCTTTTCATTCACACTACATGCGTAACCTAGTTTCTAAATCTGTTCGTTTCCTGAGTTCATATAATACATTGAACCGTAAACTAACCGAACAGGCTGGGTTTGCACAAAACAAGATTGACCCTAGCCAAACTTAGCATGAAGGGCAAATGGAGCCAGAAGGTCTTTATCTGATCTGGTAAAACTTGTCTGGACACAGCTTAGGTTTTGTGTGCATTTGGCTCTGCTTGTAGCACCACTGCTTCCTTCTGGCTTTCCCTGGTTCTAGGGGAAAAAAATGAAAAGAGCCTGCTGGATTAGACCAAAGGCCTTCTATCACCCATTGCCTTATTTTCCACAAAAGAAAACTGGATGTCTCCACTAGCAAAGTCAGAAGGCAGTTTTGCTACTTTTCTGTGGCTTCCCCAAACCAAGATCTATTTCAGGGCATGACAGAGATAGACAATCTCTGAACAGAGGTATTTCATTCCTTATAATCATGGCTAATAAGATGAGCCCATTTGAATCAAGTCAGAAGTCCATATTATCCAGTCCCTTCTTCGTTGGCCTTGATTAATCTGTGCCCTGGAAGCCCACACACAGGGCATGAAGGCAGTGGCCAACCTCCATTGTATCTGTCTAGTGTCTAATACCTAGATGTATATATACTTTACATACACCTACATGAAGGTTTGTTTCCTAGGTATCACAAGAAGTAACCATATAAGAGGAGGAGAGCAGTAAGTGTCATGTTTTGACTGTTGGAAAGCTGGTGGGGAAAGGGATGGACCATCATCATAAAGCGTCATTTTCACTGGATAAATTTAGGCTTTTTTTGACTTTCAAACATGCTGAATTACAACTCTCCCAGCCAGCAGGAGAATTATGGGAGTTAAGGAAGGCCAATTGCTTTCTCTGTGAGGAAGCTCGATGCCTCCATGAATGGTAGAAGCAGGACATGAAAGCAAATTATATACATAGAAGGATTACTTCGGAATATGGAATTTCATTTAGCTGTTGGGATTAACAGAGTTCTCTCCTTCTCCATAGATTTTGATCTAATCCTCTTTTAAAGCCAGCTGAAACAGAGGCTACAACACCTCTCAGAATGCTTAGCAGAGAACCCTTCTGTTGCTCTATCCCTTATTATGTCATTGTCTAGTGTGACATTTTATTCCATGCAGCAATATAGGGACACCTGCAGTGTTCCTTGATGTGCCATTAAGGTGAATGTTATGTTTACTTGCAAATTCTTTGTCTTTGTGGATTGGCAGAGAGCACCCCCCGCCCCCAATAAACTTGGCACCTGCCAGATAAGATTGGGATGGCTGGAAGTTTTGGGAGAGAGCACCAGCTTGGAGAAGACTGATGCAGAGAATTACAGCCTTTTAGACAAACACCTTCTGTGTAGACACAGAAAAGTCCCTTTAGGAGATATTTGGGTGGTAACATTGAGTAAGTTAAAATAGCTGTCTGATCCAAACAATAGATAGGATTAGCCATTTCAGCAGATTACAAGAATGGAAAGCAAATGGCTTCTCATCCTCTCCTGTCCCCCTCCCCCTTCTTTTTTGCGCCATACATATTTATGCCAGCAATAATGGCTATGTGCAACATTTCCCTATCAGTGCAATATTCTTGGTGAGTGGTGTTCCCACATCGACAGCACCTTTGCACAGGACAGATTCATTGCTTTGGCACTGTGGGGGTGGGGGCACTGTTGGGTTGTGAATCTTTAGTTTCCATAAAACACAAATTATGTGGTGCTGGGCTGTAAACAGCTGGGCTATTTCGATGTGCCCCCTTACTCCCATTAATTAGCTAATTGCCCAGCCACCCAGGATGCTTCCTCTTGTAAGCAATTTATTTTATTTTGTAAACAGTGTAAAGCCATTTATCTTCACTGCTTCTCATCCCTGGATTTCTCTTCAAACATGCTGCCATTTCTCATTCTTAAAATCTGTCCTCAGAATTTGAATTATCCCTGAGTCTTTTGGCTTAAACTGTTTGGGTCTCTTTTCTATGTACACAGTAAGGCTTAGTTCAGACGATAAATCACTACTTGGTGTTCCCCAGAGGCTGTGATTGACTAGCGGCCATTAATAGCATGCTCGATTCATTCATTCATTCATTCATTCATTCATTCATTCATTCATTCATTCATTCATTCAATTTATAAGCTGCCCACCTCACATACCTGACTCTAGGCAGCTTACAATAAAATAAATAAAATAGGTAAAATACAAAATATAAAAAAGAAAGCACACAGCAGCTGGGGAGCATCCAAACAATTATCAACACTGCCAGGAGATAGGGTCTGTCACACACCCAGAGTTCCAGGCTCAGGCACAAAACCAATTTTTCAAGGCCTTACAGAAGACCAGCAGGGGCAGGTCAATCTAATCTCAGGGGGGAAGATGTTCCAAAGGGCGGGCACCACAGGAGAAAAGGCTCTCCTTCTGGGCCCTGCCAGCCAACGCTCCTTAGCCAACAGTACCTGGACCGTGCCCTTCCTGCTGGATTGGGTAGGACAGGTACAAACAATTGGGGAGAGATGGTTCTGTAAGTAGCCCAGTCTCAAGCCATGAAGGGCTTTAAAGGTAACTATAAGCACCTGGAAGCCCACTAGAAGCTAGTCCAGCTCACGGAGCAGTGGTGTCACATGGATCACGGAGTAACTCGTGCCATTAACTGCCTACACTGCTGCATTCTGCACCAGCTGAAACTTTGGAATACTCTTCAAGGGCACCCTCTAGTAGAATGCATTGCAGTAGTCCAGTCTACAGTTCCCAAGGGCATGAATGAACATGAGCAGAGTCCCCCGGTCCAGGAACAGGTGCAACTGACACACAACCCAAAGTTGTGCAACTGATGTACCACTTGAGCAGGAGTCATGAGCCCAAGAAGACTGTCAGATTGTGCACCAGGTCTCTCTGGGGCAGCGCCACCCCGTCCTATTCCTTATCTATAGATTTATCTACTCCCATTTTATAATCATCTTAAATTAGAGAATGTCATATCTTGTGGTAATAAGTTCCATATGTCTGAAGTATTTCCTTTGTTCAGTCCTGATTGTTTCCTTTTTCCTTCATGGGATGATCCCAGATTCTAATATTACAAAAGTAAATACCTGCAGAATGTCTAATGTAACGTGTACAATATGGCTTTGGGCTTATGAGGATATTTCCACTTGCATTCAACTGTACATAAGGAGAAAATCCTTTTAGATGTTGCTGTTCAGCACAACAAGGTCTAAAACCTTGAGAGTTTCTTCCCAACTGATAAAAGATTCAGGAGATCTGTAAACAGCCAACAGCAAGCTCCTCCATTATCAGTGAAAAAACCTGCCGTCTTGCGGGTCCAAAGGCGGCATTTAGGTAAGAAAATTAAGGATTTTCCACCTTAATGGATGTTGGGGATGTGTTGGCATTAGACGGGAAATAGGTCAGTTGCTGGAATTCTTGTACCCCAAACCCTTTCTTTTTAACAAATCTTGCTAAAGAGATCCCGTGAGAATGCTTGAAAAAGGAATTACTTTTGGTTTTAGACAGATGCCAGAGAGCCCAACAGGACAGAGGGATGGTATACCAGGATACCCAACCTCATTACTTCTTTCCCCAGTTTGAACCCTCAAGTGTTCCAGGGAGCAGATCAAGGCTTCTGGGTACATGTATCCATACCTAGTCCCACATATAGATCAGCTAGGTGTGCACATGCTAAACCTTAAACCAGGTTAATATAACACAATTGCTGGGTTTACCCAGTAAGTTATGCCTAAACATGCAAACTACGTGATAGCATAACATGACTGTCGGGTTCATAAAACATTTATTTATTTAATTCTATTTTGGTGCCACCCAACTCCAGAATGATTAAGACAATGGCTGGATTCCCCCAATATGTTAAATCACCAATTATATAACCAATTTTAGCTTGTAACTTAATATAACTATTAGCTCATTGCTCAGCCTGAGTATAATTCTCTGCTTAATGCATTGAATACACATCAGGAACAGCATATCCCTGACATTCATACGGCCCCAGTCCTGCTTGCTTTTCGCAAAGCGTTAGACATGTGGCCAGGATGTTAGGTGAGCCCATGTTATGTGGTGTTTGTGTTTGCTTCAGCTGGAATACAGGTCTTGAGCACAAGTTATTTTTATGCTCTTTTTTCCTGTTCATTTATGGTGGCTTTTTAAAAATCTTACAGTAGCTGCCCTGCATTATAAGTGCAAGTTGTATAAGTTGATGAATAAATGAATGGATTATTTTTTTCTGGCCCTGAAGAATAGCATCTGAAGTGTTGAACTGTTTGTTTTTTTTTTAATTATGATTACCGATTTCAGTGAAAGAGAGGGAGATTTGAGAATGGGGGCCAGGAGGGCTGACCAAGAAGAGAAACGTATGGAGAACATATCACCCCAAATATCTCAATTTTTTTCCCCCAGCAGCAATTTTGCAGCCAGAGAGTGACAGGCCATTGTACTGTGGAGCAGCTAAGGGGCCCAAGAGGAGAGACCAGTGGTAACTTTTTGGTGGCCAGGGATTGCGCTGAACATCTTTTGTGGCTCAGTATGACACAACTGACAGGATAGTGATGCCAACTGTGTCATGCTGTGCCCTCAAGGGGCTGGGATTTCTTTTTCTGTGACTGTGTTCACATAAAAACTCAACGGAACATGTTAAGCTTGGTCTGTGTGAACCTTCACTACTATCTTTGTGGCCTAGGGAGTGGCGCGAACTCAACCCATTTGATTCGTTTTGTGAGTGCATTGTGTGAACCCAGAAAAATGAGGGAATTTGGTAAACAGCTTCAGCAGTCTCTCTCTTTGGATATTTTCTTCAATACTGTGTTTAGCTTACTTTAGTACTTACATTAGTTTCTTGTACTTCCTAGCTTAAAATAATGGTTAACAAGAACAGATTTTTAGTCCTAGCAATCAGAGGAGTCTGCAGAAAGGGGCTCTGGGGCCCTCAGTTGCCAACCCCTACCTTAATCACTGATTAGGTCAATGTTTCTCAACCTTGGCCACTTGAAGACATGTGGACTACAACTCCCAGAATTCAAGGTTGAGAAGCACTGGATTAGGTGGAAGCTGAAAAAGTGGAGTTCTTTCTTATTTTTTTGCATAAGCTGAGGCTTACCATCCTCTGAAGAGGTATGTGAATTGCTCTTATTGCTTCCTTTCTTCTTTCCCTCTCAGCAGATAAATAATTTTCAGCCGTTGTATTTGACTTAGCTTCGTATTTTTATTCTTTTTTCAGGATTCTATTGTAGTCTTTCAGTGGATAAATTACTTCTAAAGAAAACTGCACACAGTCAGGCTACTTATATTTAGAACGTTTTAGATAGAACTAGTAATTCTTCTGGAGTGTGCAGTCCTGTGTAAGTCCTACTGAGGACAACACACAAAGACTTATTTCTGTGTAGAGTAACAACAATTTGTTTGTAATCCGTTTTATCAAGGGCTAATGTTTCTATATTTCTAGCAGTTTATTACCAAGCAACCTGAATACTATAGCAATAACCTAATGAATACAATATTCTGTCAGGGATGTCCTTTGATGAGGAAAAAAAGGATTCAGAAATGTTTGCAGAAGTGATATTCGTTTGTTTCAAGAATTTGTGCCTTGCAGGTCAACTAGTAAGGCTAATTACAAATCAATAAAAAGAGAGAATCCCCAGCTTGACAATGTAAAAAGATACTGTGTACAAGAAAAAAGAGGATGTGGCAGGAGAAAAAAACAGCCAAGCACTCACATAGCAATTTAAGGTTCTTGCATTGCCTTAGCCTGATGGGGTGGCTGCTGGAAAATGATTTGAAAATTAGCAGAACTTCTCAGGAGGGCTGACATTAGATCAACCTTCCCACCTTCTCAGAGACATGAGGTTAAGCTAAAAGGGGTTGGAGTCCTATCTTCCAGATATGGGAAGAAATCCTAATGTTTGTCTTTCTGTCTGGATTGAATGCTCTGTCCTTCCCCATCCTGTGGCATCAGGTGTCATCCAAGTCCCTTTCTTTCCTGGCAGGGACCAGGACTCGCCCTATGAGATCATGCAGCTGGATTTTGAAATGGAGAACTTCACCAGCCAGTCAGTGACCCGGCGCATCATGTGGCATATAGACTATCGGGGTCGCAACCCACCACCTGATCTGGAGAAGGCGGTGACTGAGCTGACAGTAATTCAGAGGGACATCCGTGCCATCCTTGCCCTGGCCATGGTGAGCTTCTTTCTTAGGACAAGCTTGAAGACAGTTCAGTTCTCTGCTGACTATCATCTTAGGCCTGAGATATGCATTCAGATGCTTGATCTAATTCCTCTAACTCAGGGTTCCTCAACCTCAGCAACTTTAAGATGGGTAGGCTTCAACTCCCAGAATTCCCCAGCCAGCTATGCTGGCTAGGGAATTCTGGGAGTTGAAGTCCACCCATCTTAAAGTTGCTGAGGTTGAGGCACCCTGCTCTAACTTCGTTATATGGGAACTATAGGACCCTTAGTTTAGGGTTGAAAGTAGAGATACCCATATATGGTGATACAAAATAAAATTGATACTGTCTTTAAACATTCTACTTTATCTTTCCTCGATCATTTTTGATACAGAGACATAGCTACACCATGCCTTAGTGTGATGAATGAACTAAGGCAGTTATGCTTTAGTTTCCTTAACCAAAGTTTGTTGAAAAAACACAATTAGTTGGATTCAACCATTACACTCAGCCATAAATTAGAGTTTACAAAGTATATTATTGACTTCATACAACATGCTAAATCCAAACCAGATTACTTAATTGCTTAATGTAGTGTGTGAATCCATTCTTAAAAATCAGTGATATAAGTGTTTTATCTGTTTTTTTGGGGGGGGGGAAGTTTTTTTTAAAACACAGATGCTTTGCTTTTATGTTTGCCTGCTTTATTGTTTATATTAATGTTTTATTTTCCTTTTTTTTTGCTCTGATTTCATTGCTGAACAGCAGGGTAAATTATATTATATTATATTATATTATATTATATTATATTATATTATATTATATTATATT